CATTGCAAAATATGTATACACGTAGCTACACTGTGAGCTACATCTTCCGTGATCCTTTGCGGTAGGTCGCCTTTGCGTTTCAGCCGTGCGCAAAATAGTCACTACGACTTTGGTCCAGGCATGATTCAGGCTATTGAAGAGCCGCAGCTATGAACGCCCCGTACAAATTTGCCTACAGTGACGTCACATGTCGGGTACCCATCGTCCTCGCAGGACACGTCACGAAATAATTTGTCCCTTTTTAGAGACAGCTTCTCTCCCTTAGAGACATCTGTAGAGTTTTTTTCGACTTCTTTACAGTTTGGTGATCGACCGGATGACTAGGAGTAAAGGGGAGGGGATAGGACATGCGGGTAGGCGGCCTCACGCCACGATGACCTCTTCCGATCCGGTCCACCAATTCTGTGTAGCACGTTCTTTCCGTGGTCACCGCCCGCGCATGATGAAATGCACGACAGCCCCGCACTGACATGCACGTATGTTTTCGTCCCAACGCAAACAAGACCACCTTTTGTGGATTTAGTGGTGTTGCTACGAGAATGCACTGAAAATGACCCAGGACATCTGTGGATTTAATCTTTTAATTGGACCTTGTCAGGCCCCAGTAACACACACTCTGCCGTTGTGGATCCGGTAAATGGATGTGCATTAGAATTAAAAGGGTTAACATACGGCATAGTTCTGGCAACCATGTCACTCTGTGAATGCTGTTTTTTATACCTGCATGTTGTAGTTTAGTTAATGGATTTTTCATTGACTTCTGTCAGCCAAACCACAGTAATACATCCGTACTGTCGATCTGCTGCAGGTGCTATGTACGGTTGCCAAAAGGGGACACTAATACAGGTCATGAGAAAATACGGATCATCGACAATTCTGCTATGAGTTCCACGAGTATACCAAAAGACGGCAGAAAGCCCTTAGAAGGCAGTTACAACTTACAGGTTCAAATACAGCTCCAGTCAATTTCTTTGTTCATCTTCATAGCAACTTGGACCTCTTAGATTTTGGGATCTTTGGTTTTAGACACAGAGAGGACAGAGAAAGGCAAATGCAAAATAAATCGCGCAGGAGTCGGATCTTCTCAAGCGAGCGAGCAACAAGGCGGGGGAGGGGCGTAACCGTAAGATGAACTTTCCGAGGGGGCACGTGGAGTGCACAGATTTTTTTCAAGGGGGCAATCAAAGCAAATCGTTAGTGCCTGTCTCTAATAATTTCATATTGTAATAATTTCAAAATCGGGACCGATCTAAGGGACGTACTGAAGTGAGCGGGTTCGAGCGCCGCATCAATTAAGCACATAGCCTTTGATGGGATGTAAAAACACTGTCCAAAAATCGATTCCCGGCGCGAGATTGAACATATGCCGTGCTGGACTCGAAGGGTGGGCTATCAGAACACGCAACGACAGGCCTTCATCGTCGTCCTTTTTTCCCCTTCTCTCCCCGCTACTAAATATCATTAACGCAGACCTGATTAACTCTGTTTTGCAGAGCTGTGGAGGTGGTAATACGGGCGATTGACCATAGTGCGCCTCCAAGAGTTTGCAACGCGTTGACCAATCACAGTGCGTAAAATCTGTCGACCCTCTCCAAACGCGCATTGGCTCGACAGATTTCGTGCACTGTGATTGGTCAACGCGTTGCAAACTCTTGGAGGAAACACCTGTATTGAAATGTGCTGGGAGCAAAAGAGTCCTGAACTGTCGTTTGTGTCGTAACTACCAAACAGTGCTAAAAGAACTCTGCATCGTCGAGGTCATAGATTGAATAATTACTTTCAGTTAAGTTATGTGCTTTTCCCCGTAGCAGACATTACAATGATTTTAAAGTGCATTAATACACTAAATTACTCTGTAGACAAAAAGACTACACGTCGAAAAAGTAAGCAGCAATTTTTAATAATTATAATTTCTAATTACATGTACGCCATACGTATAGAGGCATCATTTCCACAAATTTATGGTGTGCGAACAAAACAAAGCAAAAACCTTAAAAAATAAAAAAGAAGAAACAAAAACATGCCCGGCTCACTTTATTAGCATAATACGAGACTTTCCTTTCCCTTGAGTGATCGCGTCAATGCAATGAGTTTCTACATCTCTATCAATTATTAAGGGGTCGAACCCCGAGCGGCTTAGGTTTTTTTTCCCGTTAATTTTGCAGCAAGGCAAATATTGCCCATCCCCCCAGAAAGAGAATTATTTCTGGATCCGTCTTCTTCGCACAAGGCCGTCTTTGAAAGAAGTACTATAGAAAAAAATGAAGTGTGTGCCGAGCCAACGCCGGTGTCAATTTCAAGCGCCAAAACAACACGTGGCAAATCAAACTCGTTCAATTATTCAGCGGTTTTTTCCCGCGCCGTTTTGCGTTCCCGCCTTCCTCCCTAGCTCTGATAATGTCATTATCGTCTGCCCCACTTCTATCTGTTCCGGGCATCCAATTATTTTGTTTCCTCTCTTCCCCCCTCCCATCTCGTTGTTTCTTCGTAGCATTTTTTTTGGTTTTGTTATTCAATCGAAAATTGTGTTTGATCTTTTTTTTTTCTATGTGCGATGGCGGTGTGTGGGGAGGGAGGATTCTGACACGACACAGCCAGCGAGCTCGCTCCTCTGTGCTTCGGCCGCATATCGAATTATTACAGTGGGTGTATAATTGTGTCATTTTGTTGCGAGCGAGTATGCACACGGCAATCAATTGCTTTCCGTGGAGAGATTGGTTCGGGGTATGAATGTGATAGTCTCCACTTCATGTCGGCCAGATTGAGGCGGGGGGGAAGGGGGCCAACTCGACGTAGACAAGACAAACGGATATCCGCCGGATGACTGGCAGCGACGGATCAGTTGGGGAAGACACAGTAAACATCACATTTTGAGATCAGAGTTAAAAAAACATTTTTTCCCTTCACCTCCTTTTCTCTCTTTCTTTTTTATTCTTAAAAGCGGTTCAACATGTAATGTCACACCGTGGCCATCATGTTGGCTGGTTGTCAGGACACGACAACGAGAACGAACCGCTGGCAATTAAATGCGTAAAAATATCCCCCAAATTTGAAACTATACTAGTAGATATATTTTTAATCGATGGAACCCTTTCCCAACAAATCTGTAAAGCGTGACCGCACTTCTGCATAATTTGGTATCATGTTGTGATCCTTGAGCCAGAAAAATCCATCGATTATGAGTTGGAGTATCGAAAAGTCGGGTCCCATGCCAATCGGAAAAAGTCAAAGAACTTGGACGAGTCGACGTTGAGAGATGGCCACCGTCTCCCGATTACAAACAAAGAAGCCGATTTCTTACGCCCAGGGTGATGACCCCATGATCACTTGTGCTAGAACCCATCCAACACAAGGCAGCATGGTTGAAATCGGCATGACGACAACATGCGTATGACGAAACAATATGCATGTTGGGGCATCAGCAGTTTGGTTTCAGGATCGGAGATTACAGCGACTGAAGGGGGAGGGGTATTTGCCGGCATCACGTTGGTGCATGCACTGGCAACAAAATGTCGTTACACGACAAAGCTGGAGAACCCAATCAGCATAATGTGCAAGTTTTAATTCAGACCAATAACACAATTGACGCCCACTGGCTTTTGAGCCAAGGCTATTTCTATAAGTTCGACAGGACGCAAGGCCCCTATAAGTGTTTGCGCTGACAACATGCTCACTCACCGTGCGGCGTGCATTCAGGGCTGATATATTTAATAATAATTGTCAAGCCGTTCGTAACCAATTGGAGGTGTTGTGGGCAAACGCGGGCAAACGCAGACAGGCGCGACACTAGAAAAGGCATCGTATAGAAAAACACCTTGCCACAGTCTGGAAAGACGACCAGTGTGTGCTGGTCGTAATGCCGAGCTCTTAACCATCGGTTCCTCCTATCGGAACAGTAACCATTAAAAAAAAAAGAATCTAAGAGACATTTTAATTCTACATGGTGTCATCGCCAAACCAGGGCTACAGTCAAATAAGTTCATCACGAGTAGCATATGCAGCCGGAGGGGGGAACTTTCCCCTGCCTTTTTTTTTTTTTTTTTTACAAAGAATACTTCACAGGTAAGAAAGTAATCGGTATATTTATCAAAGATTAGCACCAAACCCCTAACAAACAGGATGCCGGGACCACGAGAAAGGCTTTGGTAAATTGTTTTCTTCCCCAACACCATCTCGTTAATTATTTGCTCCCCTTGACGCCAAAAGCTGGACACGCCGCTGGTTCATCAGTTCAGTTACAAGACATTTCACGGGTCCAGTCACAGGTCCGGTCGCAAACACAGTCACAACTAACAGGGTATACAGTGACGAATGAACGATATTGTTATATTATTTCTTTTGAATAGCTTGGAACTTGGCCTCGAGAGGGGGTGACTTAAGGTGGCCTTGTGATGGCCTTGCGGTGGCCTAAGCTTGTGATGGGCTTGTCGCAACCCCGTCCCCGTGGTGACGAGCAGTGCGCCCTACGGCTACCTGCTCTCACCCTGGGATTGGAATTATTTGCATATCTAAAAAAAATTGAATAGGCCTACGTATGTTAATGAGGAACAGTCTGGTGCTTGGTTGTGCTTTCAATCATTGTTAGTTGCAGTAAGGGAAGTCTGAAGTTTAAAGACCGTCAATTCTTCGCGGCGTGTAATATCGGGAGTGCATTTTTTTTTTCAAAGATGAAAAGTAAATAAACGCCTCCAAGCAATATGCAGTATCACATTTTCTGATACATGGACATGTTTTTGTTATCAACACAGAGAAGAGCAGCTTGTTTGGGAGGGAAAGTGAATGAAATAATTCAGAGCCTACACGAAAACATGTAATACACGCTGAAATTATAAACACGAAATACATGAGATTAACTGATTCCTTGCCGCTCCTGCATCGGAGTTAATATCGGAAGCCAAACTAGACATAAAGTGACCGCCAGGGACGAGATCGGACTTGAAGGGACTTGAGATGGATGCATAATCCCTGACCGGCCAACTGCCAAAGATCCAGCGTCTTACCTTGTTGGCGTTCTGCTCCGCCATCTGCTTCATCAGCTGGTTCCTTTTCTTGTCCTTGCAGCGCTTGTTCTGGAACCAGACCCGGATGACCCGCGGGCTGAGCGACGTCATCTCCACCAGCTGTTCCTTCATGAGGGCGTCGGGCCGCGGGTTGGCCGCGTAGCAGGTTCGCAAGGTGTGCAGCTGCTTCTCGTTCAGCACGGTGCGCACCCGCGTGGGCTTTTCGGGCTTGTGGGCGTGCGAGCGTACGGTCCGGTTGGGCATGGGCTCCGAGTGGGTCTGCCTCCCCGTTGGGGACGGTATGAGCAGGTCGTCGTCTGTGCCGAGATAGAAGAGAGAGAGAGAGACAACGATGAAATGGGCGTTAATATGCGTTCAACAGTCCCACTCACAGGGGATCGTGGCAAGCATCCTATCTTCTTTCGTGACCGAAAAGAAAACAATTATTATAAGATTAGTACACAAGTGCTTTGGACTGCGTTCTGCCTTCTGACCTGTAGTGCCCTCTACTGGTCAAATTGGTACAGGTTAGGTAAAGGGGGTGAGTTTGAAAAATGCACGTTTTTAAAGCAGCAATAAGACGGGGACCAGCGTCATCAGTGCGTCTGTCTGGCAAAAGGTGGCACTCTGTCTAATGTCAAAGGTCACATTAGCAACATGACCGATTCTGTCGATAATTGGCCATCATGAAGACAAATCCGTCCCTCACTGACATGAACTACCCGTTAATCCGCAGTCAGGCGAGTTGATTATTAAATTCGAATTGATTCGCGCCTTCATACAGCGGTCGGCAAGACATGAAGTATCGTATCACCTTTGGCGACTATTAAATCTGCCCGAGTGGCGTCTACACGTTTTGTTTCATGGCTATGACTACAGCCACCACCCCTCCCCCTTCTGCACAGAGGAGGTCTCGTTTGTTTTCCCCGACTCTTCCCCTTCGGTCTCTCTTCCGCGGTCGTTCTTTAAGTCCGCGGGGACTCGTTCTACCGTGCGCTTGACGGAGCCAATCAGGGGGAAAATGTTGGCTCAGCCTCGCCAACGCAAGCGCGGGCCAAACGATGCGTGACGGACACCGAGCCCCCCACGAACTCGCCGAGATCGAGGCGAGACGATCGTGTCTCACAAACCCCGCACATCGCCAGCACTCTTCCCAAACCACAATGAATTATAAATGTTCTTCCGTTGGCTAGTGGCCTGTTTTTTATACTTACTCCTTCGCTAACCCCCCTCCCCCAGCCTGGTCGAGTGGAACAGGTCTTTTATATTTCAGAAGACAATGGAAGCGACAGCACAAACAACCGTCTCGGGTGAATTCTTGATGAAGCCGATGATGACACGATGCGTTCATCACGTCCTGCGAGAGGATGATGAGGCCTCCCAGAAATTCTAAAAAAAAAAATCGGCTCCAATACAAACTGACCCGATTCTGAAGGTAAATTGGGATTTGATTCAGCAAGTTGAGCTCATTAACTTTTGCAGTTGCCGTGACGACGTGTTTACCGTGTACCGCGCCGTGACACGCGGATATTTAACCGCAACGATTGCATGGTAGGAACAAAAAAGCCGAAGGTACCCAAGCAAGCTCATTGCTTGAAGTTTACAATGCAGTTCGAAAGAGAGGACAGCCTCAATATTACAGTGACACACCGGTTGCATTTTACAAACTCTGCAACCTCATCATTACACCTTCCTGAGCACGACTTTGAATGCAAGATGAAAAACAATAAATAAAGGAGAGCATTGAAGGGTTTCTTTACACAGGAATACAGTAGACGATGAATGCAGTTGTAGAAGAACTTGAGAACAAAGCATATCTACATTTAATTAGATGTGCGGTTTGCTTATCTCAGCGTTTAAGTTAATTCGTGGCGATTGTAACGTCCAGGGTCGGTCGGCGGCCTTCGTAGTTTTTTGATTAGCATCCAACGATCGAGTGAATTGTGTTTCCAATGTCGTGACACACGAACCCAGACACGCCGGCGAGGCGCAGCGCGTCAAGAACCAATCGAGAACGGCCTAATTGGGAATAAAGTCCACCGCCCAACGGCTCACGATCGCCAATTAGGCCCCCTTCGGTGTCAGTTGTCCACTGAAGGATGATGCTATAATAATAACAGCCACTCCAGGATGAGGCCTCCTCAGCCTCCCTACCCCCGACCGGAGAATATGTGATGAAGGGGGCATCCCCCGATTGGGGTCGAGTGGAAACCCCCAATCGAAGGCGGGAAGATGATTATGTAAGCAGCAAACGGGGTACGTGTTTTACAGTACCAATGAGTAAATTACAGATATCCTCGAGTCCTAAGTATCGAATATCCCCACTGGGTGGTACGGATCGTGTATAATAGCAACCTACAATGAACAATCTCCGTAGCAAACATTGAGAATTCATTACGTGTTTTACTTCAAACGTTACATGCTTGAAGGACACATGGGTCAAATCTGTGCATGAAAAAGGGCAATGTCGCTGACATGTACTTTCCATACTACCTATTCAAATTTGCAGTAACGTGCACAAGGCACACGGCAGTGAGAGGGACAAACACTGGATTGGCGGTCGATGACCATCCAACGCCGTCCAAGGGTGTACGTCCCCCTGGTTCAAACAGCTTTGCCCTGCGTCATCATCCCCGCAAGCCGCGCGAGCACCACGCGCGGCGAAGAGGCCGTGGGAAACGACCTGCCGTATACCGAACGAGCCCCCCCCCGGGGGGGGGCGCGAGAGAGAGGGTGGTGTCTAGACCGCTCGTCGTGGTTAAAGGCGCGTTTCGACCTACATCCTCCAAGCAGGACCGAACGAGTAAACAGATGCCAGGGAGGTCCTCCAACAAGCCTCCAAATACTCGGGGTTTGAAAGCTCAAGTCTCCGCTAGTATACGGTGTCTCCCCACCGCTGTTGTCTGCTCGGAGTCATGAAGTGGTCCCGCGTCTCTGCACTCGAGAGCGATGTGAACTTTCTCATTTGCAGATCGTCCGATACAAAAGTACAAGAATACTTGTATAATCTGGCAAGGCAAGGCGCGTAGAGGCCTGTACTTTACATCATGCGATGGGCCGTGTCGCTCGATTCGATTTGGGAGCAGACGACATGCGCACAAAACAGCGCACCAAGTGCGCAACGAGATTCACTTGCACGTGGTTCCTTTGTTTGCCTTTGTCCTAAATTACTTTCTTACCTCCCAGGGAGGGAAAGTCGTAGCTGATTTATAACTAGCCTTTATCCGGTCCGTTTCAAACACCCTACCAACTCATGTTGTTCAAACGGCATACATGTACTGTACATGCACCAGAAACGCGGTCGTGCTCACTCTATGTTGCATCAAGCTTTAATGAAAGTCTTTTTTCTTCACCTTCTGACACAAACAAGAGGCTTTACACCATGCAAGGCCTCAGCTACCCAAATAATGACTTCAACGCTTACAACACGGGCGTTTAACAATAGTGCGCCTCCAAGAGTTTGCAACGCGTTGACCGATCACATGCGCGTTTGGAACTGTCGACAGATTTTGCGCTCTGTGATTGGTCAACGCGTTGCAAACTCGTGAAGGCGCACTCTTGTGAATCTCCCGTATTAATTTATTTCAGCAACAATGACGAGAAGAAAAACCACTGCACTTTAGAAGATCAAAACATGAAATTTCATTCAAACTCAAAATACGTGGAAATGGCGGAATGGCGGATGTCAAAAAATAAAGCTCGTTAGATGAAGGCTTCCAGGAATTCATAATTATGCCGGACGAAATACTCGTAATTTTCTCGCTCGTATTTATATTGTTTTGTTGATGTGTACACGCGAACATGGCTGTAGATATTATACATACGATTATGCGAGCGATCATCAAGCGGTATTGGTTTGATGCGATTAAACCGACATCGGTGACTGATAATTGGCCGTCTATCTCCCAAGGGATGTCAGGCCTGCCAGAGCGTCATTGTGCAAGCCCCCCCCCCCATATGCTGCATGGACCCACCGACGTGATTGAGTTCCCCCCGTTCATCCCCGTCCTGCACGGGCAAGGCCAAGCGCTCCACACGCACAAAAAACTCCTCACAAAACGGCGCAATGGAGAAGGGGAAAAAAATTGGTCGGTGGGATGTAAATAATGTGTACTGGAGTTTCGACGGGGGGGGCGATTGCTGGCGTGCGGTGCGGTAAAGATTATGCGACATATTGGCCGCGGTCTCCCTACTCCGCAATTGACAATCTCACGGATAGCCCAAGTTCTTTTGAGTGGGTCACGCTACGGGCTAAATCGGGCCTCAGGTGGCCCGGGCAAGGCAGCCGTTCCATCGGCGAAGATGACGGAGGAAAAAAAAACACCGAACGAACGAATACAGAGGACGGGGGGAACCCGCTCGCATGCGGAATTGGAAATTGTAGATGACCGTGCCCGTGTGTGTTTGATGATGGAATAATGGTGACATTTTTGATTGCTTTGATTATAGGCACGGACAAAGGGCTCGATAACGAACGGCTTTGGTCCCTATGAACAATCGCTGGACCACATACACATCTGCAGGGCTAACAGATTCCCTTCTCCCTACTCCCCAAAGAGGGTAATATAAGGTACTCCCGAGAAAATCAAAATGACTGATTAAAACCAATCACAGTTGAACAGATGCTGGGAGAAAACAAAGGCAAACATCACTTAATTGACGGCCTCGCGGACGGCTAACATCGCGAACGGTCTAAGGACGCTTAATAAATCTGTACAGATTCTTGTAACCGTGCGAAAATCCACAAGGAAGTTATTTATCATCTGGGGACAATCCTATTTTCACACTTTCAGAGTAAAGAAAGGCGAAATTGCGTTCAACAGCAAATCTAACTTAAAAAAGCAAGTTCTTGTACCAAGATACATAAGAATCGATTTTAATCAAACCGAATACATGTCCGCTGATTTCCGACCACATCCATTTCTGTGGCATCAGCGGTTAAGCTCAGTCGCACTGGTTGTTGACTTTGTGCAGACTGCCGACACAAGGTCAGCTTGTTAATAAGTATCGATTTTTTTTTCAATCGTTGCTGCGAGTTTGCTGAATTATGGACATGGTTCAGCAGATGATTACAATAATTCTAAACCCCTTACATAAACTCGTTGAGTTCGTATGCTCCATCATTTCTTCGTTTGACATCCAAATTTTTGTTAAAGCGTACACGGCCCACTATGCATCTGGTGCGACTGCTCGAAAGCGCCCGCAACGTTGATGCGACGCGAACATCACTATCACCGGCCATTGGTCGCTCATAAAATATTCATGAAAGACGATCCTCCCTCCCGACAGAACATCTCCAATCGGCACTGACATGTTGACTTTGGCAAGTCGAAACCCCGTTTCAAATTGTACACGGAGGCTCCAGGGTAAACGATCTTTTGCAGTGTGAACATTTCTCTAGGGTTGCTGAACCATTTGGCGCATTCACTTGTTTTTGTTTTGTTTTTTCAAAGAACAATTTTACAATATTTTACCCACTAATTTTCTTACGGAGGTAAGAGTGTGAAATCGGTATTTTAATTATCGTGAAAGAAATTAAACGTAGTCCGTTTTCAACTCTTGCATTCCTCTGTGCAGTGTGTTTATTTCATGTTTTTCGAAATGATATCAAGATAAAAAAAAAACTAAAATGTCTCGACAATAGTTTTAAAAAAACTGTTGATTGCAAGCACATTATAGACGAGTAATGACGTTTCTACGAAACAAAATAATGTTCATGACGGTACCTGTCCATCGGTAGCACGTACGACGTCACGTTTCAATGGTGTTTACAAAATACACCCTTCATTCCTAGCCAGTTGCCAACATGATTGATTCGCACGCTAAGTCTGGTATTGTTTGCGGTATCGCCGAACTGATCTTTCCTGCACCAGATGTGGAGCGACATCGCAAACGCAGGCCAACGCCAAAAACTGGTATACCCGTCATTATTTCTTGTGGAAAATAGGTGGTTTTTCGCCGCCTTAAACGCCTACACAATGGGCAATTACACAACATTCTTCGTACGTTTAACACCATGGCAACAGCATAACGTGCGGTTTGGGCAGCCAGCGCACCAGACAATGACTCATGATATTTCCTCTACTCGTGTGCATACACAAGGCAATTTCATCTCCATCTGACGAGCTCCAACTTTCCCGCTCTCTGCACTTCGAAAAAAAAAACACCACCACACACAAAAAGAAAATGTGCCTACCGTTCATGTAGTTTCGATGGTTTCCATTGTTGTTGTTGTTAGGTGGGCCGTTGCTGCTTACCACGACGGTGCCGTCCCCCGCGCCGCCACACCCGCTGCGCTCCAGCATCTCGTGGTCCGCTTTGCAGAACAGGCCGTCCTCCCGGAGCGCGAACTCGTCCCCCGGGATGAGCTGCCGGCTGCAGGCCACGCAGCGAAAGCACTCGATGTGGTAGATCTTGTTCCGGGCCCGCATGACGAAGTCGTTCTTGTCGAAGCTCTGGCCACACTTGGCACATTTGGTTCCGAACAGCCTGTTTGTGTACACATACAGACAGCATTGATAAAGTTTGCTGATTAGGCACCAAGTCTAACTTTAAATGCACAACGAACTCGCGCTCTTTCGGTATCACAACAAATCACAGACCTCGTCTACCATAACGACAGTATCTTTGCTGAAGCCATCACGAACTTCAAGCTTGTCAGTTGCACGCACGCAAAGTTTGCCTTTCCTCTAAACTAGTCCTTAGACAAAGGTGATCCCCCGGTCCTAACAAAGCGTGGTCGCTTTCTGCAAAAAAAAATATATTTCCAGAGTTTTTCGAACAAACGGCTGTGAAATGAAAAGTGCACATCCTACAAAATCCACACGGATTCGGTTTCGAAGCCTGTACGCAAAGACTTAACCCCGAGGGCACGCAGGTACATGTACCGTTTACACGCTGAACAGGTTGATCCAAAGAAAAAAAGACGTTTGAAAATGGACCATCGACACGGCTAGGATTGAACCCAATATTCACGTGTGCCTCCAGCACACCGGCCACGCAAGCTGGGCTCTACATGTACTGTCAAAAAATACAACGCACATTAAACGATGGCCAAAGGCAAAACCCGAGAGTTGAGAAAGCATCAATAAATTTTAACAAAACTTGCTGCGTTTGCCGCTGCCCAGTAAGTCCTTTGCTGAAGACAAAGTTGTCTTATATGCACACGGCGAAGAGAAAAACAAATCAAATTCGATTGCTAAACAACCTACATTTAGCTTACGGAATCGTACACGAAACGGAGCAAAGTCGGCTCATTATAATAGGCCAGAATATTACATTTCAGTAACTCTATATAGTACTTGTATTTTTCATTCAAGGTGATTAAGTTTTTCAGCTGCAGGACGTGAAGGCTTCAATGAAATTGTTCAGTATACGACACCGATATCCCGGAGAAGAACGCAATGAGAACAAAGTCAAACGAAAACATCGATTCTGTGTCATTTTTTTTCAAAGATGCACTGTCGGTCCAGCACGAAGCATGTCCCAATTTGAGCGCATCATCGTTCATAATTTGGGGGGCCCACTGAGGAGGGATCCCTCATGTAATAGAACCTCGCCGTGGATTGCGGGACTGGCGGATGGATTGCTAATTAATCGCAGGGATAGCTCGTCACGTCTACAGGCGCGAAGTGGCTAAGCGCGTCTTTTTCACGCAACTCGACCGCCAGCCCAGCGTCCCCCCCCACCTCTCCCTCCTTCGCTTCTCCCGGTGAGGCACCAGACGGCAGCACTTCGACAGATGTGATTAACATGCCCAGGCGATGGGATGCTTTTTCCCTCCAGTTTTCTTTCTCTTTTATTTGGGGGGGGGGAGGAGTAAATGGCCGCATCGTGTGGAGCCGGCAGTTTCTCCAGTGAGCAGCGCGTGATCATGATTACATCTACGGTGCCATGAGCCAACTCGATTTCGGTTAAAACCACCGGACCCCTTGGAACAACAAACCCTTTTCTACAACGACCTGACACAAATATCGACATGTATACAGCTTGTCTTCTCTTTGTCAATTATTAAAGATGCATGTCCGGTTCAGTTCTGATAGACTGTGTTCAAAATCTTTGCCAATGGTTATTTTGGCACAGTGGTTCACGAAAGCCCACAGAGGAAAGCTGAAATGGTTGATGCATATGAACGCAGACAATGGCATTTTATTTGAATACATAAGATTTGCAAGCAGTTCAGCCGTAATGCCCGTAACAACGACGGGTCTACCACGCTTCAGTGACCAGTCCGCAAAAAAGCTGGTTGAAATCAGAAAATTTAATCCTTTCTCATTCGACCAAAGCGTGCCAAAATTACCACGGTCGCGCCATGGAAGTTTCCTAATTGGTTCCCTTTAGGCTGGGTGTCTCAACCTCTTGTTTTATTTATTGTTTCGGAGCCCTGGTGTTTCACTGGCAATGGCAGACTTTCATCATTGCTGAAAGCTTGGCCAAAACTGGGATTTGTACTTCTCCTCCCGGTGTTTTCATCCGTGGGGCAGCTTCAACCCACACCGATCACTCATCACGCCACCACACTTCACGGCACGCTGCCGCCCGGCACACAATTTAATCAACGTGTAAATTTGACGGGGGCCCATCTAATAAAAACATGTCTAAATATTTATGACTGATCATTGTACACAAAAACACATCTTCGATAATCGCACATGCGTCTTCCTTAAAAAAGGGTACAGTTGAAAAAAGAAAAAGGAGAAAACAACCGGATTCGTCTTCGTAACTGTTTTCATAAGTGCCTCAACGTCAAATAGACTACTTACAAAAAAAAGCCCCGTAAAACTGTATTGTCATAATATGAACTTTCCATAATCCTCATGACATTATCTTTCACCACGAATAAAAATTCTCAGGCCGCGTACATGTAGGGATTGAGTGTCGGCCGTTTTGAAACAAGTGTCTCCGTTCCGAACTTTTTTCACCCAACGGTTCAAGGACACAGACAGCCGACGCTATTACGGATGGAAGTGATGAAGTATTCCCAACAACCAACAATGGGCGCAACAACCGCGACCGCATTTAGCACTAGCTCCTTTTTTTTTTACCGGGCAAATCCTGAATTGGAGCTTACTGGAAGCCGTTTATTGTGTTGTAGCCGAGGACGACTCTCGGCATTCCTGACCCAGACTACTGGGGGTAGGGGGAGCACACGGGGAAACCGATTCGCGAGCCCTGCCGAGCCGAGCGTGACTTGCCCACAGCTGCATCCCCAATTTTTTGCCCTCAGCCCCCACTTCAGACTTCAGTACCTGTCGGGTTACGATGAAGCGATCACGAAACAAAGACACGAGACTATCTACACGCACTTCACACACACAACTTTCGCTGTAAGTATAACCAAAGTGTTTTCACAAGAGGCTCGTTATGGCATCGAACAGAACAAAAATTGTTCTTTACGTCATCATTTGACTTAAGTTTGTCCACAGGGTTACGACCGCAGTTTAAAACCAACAATGCTGAAAAAAAATTGCTGGCAGAAAACCGCACAACAATACCATCAGTGCGGAAAAGAAGTTCAAAACTGGCATCGGCCCCCAAAAACTGCATTACCCCTGTGGTAATTTGATTGCAGGAAAAAATGCAATAAGTGAACTGTTCCCGTCCTGTCGTCCGCAGCGTAAACAGCTGTCGATGTTTAACTTGTTTTCCCGTTACACTTCTGAACGGCGGATAGGTTGGAGTTTCCTGTGTCCCGAGCGGGCTCCCCATCGTTAAGAGAAGGCAATAAAACCTTGTGACGGATACACGCCGAAAATTGAGGCTTGCCCGCTTGTCGTAACGATGCCCCCGTGCGGGGTGGGTGCACAATATTGTAAAATTTTATGGCAAAAACCCCGGCCTCAGTCAGTGCTGTTTTGGCCGTGGCGGAGAGGTCTTCTCCCACTTAATTCAGCAGAATTCAAACAGGATCAGGCGTGGATGACTGCCACCCAACCCCCACAGAAGCCTCCAAACTGAGATGGAACTGGTTGTTTCCATGATAAAACGCCGAATCACAAAATTTCACCAATTCAGCCTCGCCGGGGTGGCCAATTTTTCCAAAGTGTTAAGAAAAAAGGATCCTGAAGCCACTACAAAGTGGATCCTCACACAAACTACTCTGAGACTCATGGCGCTATCATCAAAATCACTTCCACAATGCCCTCAAGAGATGTTTTCAGAGTTCCTATCTATGTAAAAAATATGTAAAATGTTTCCCACTGGACAGTTACTCCTTGAAACAAGAATTCGAAATTGAGAAAACTTTCAACATTTCGCATCCGCAAATTTCTCCGACTAACCCAGCTTATTGTTTTTGTCACCGGCAACCGTCCCCGCATCGAAATAAAAATTATGTCTGTGGATATAAAACTGGAATGTATCCCCCAATTGACGTAAATAAATTAAACCTCTTTAGACCGGGAGGCAAAGAACTTTCCCCCATCCGCTAATTTTGCAGAACAGGACGTGTACAGACACAATGAGCGCCCGGCACGGGCAAACTATGCAAGAGAAAAGGACGCCAACCCCGACGGCAGAGCGACTGTGGCCTAATTCGGTTTGCTATCGAAATTCGACAAAGAAACATCATCAAAACCCTGGGCGACTTCCCCGGGGAGAGCATAAAACACACACACTAACACTCACACAAAACAAAATGTTTTCCTCAACTACAAACTTGGTTCCCACTGGCTCAATCAGGAAAAATTGAATCAAGCGAACACTGTCCATTGGAGCAACTGAATTTGGCCTTTAAGCAGAGGGGAATTTTGATGCAGTTGGTGAAACTTTTGTCTATTCTCCGGGTAAAGTCTGCAAGAGAACATGTAAATCATACATGTACAGTTTTCCCCCACAGCAGGAAAGAATCACCGCCTTACAACAAGCACCGTGCCAGGGGCGCCGCGCTTCCACACGCATCTTCTTTTTTTTTATTATTTGCTGCACGCAGACCCGCTAATTACAAGCCCCACTCAAACTGTCAATCGGCCCAACGGCTGAATGGGCGACTCTCAAAATCAGAAGACAAAAGAGAACAAGGGAGTCACTTCGGATCAGGGACCGTCTTCGAAAAGAGAAGGGTCCCGCATTTTACAACAAGCGGTGGAGATGAAAAGCCAGACGGGGGGGGGCTGGAGTTAGCGCCTAAGAAATCCCCAGTATTGTTGGGCGTTCATGGTGTCAACCGACTGGCTTTCAAAATATTTATATAATCAGCCAATTAGGGATGCCCAACAAGCCACAACAATCCGACCAGAACTTCAGAAGTTCCACAAAATTGCATACACGATCTGCCGCTGTTAGCGCTTATTTTATCTTGCTTTTGTCGATGACACCCACCAATACCTCCTGTCAGCCTGTAAAACGTACAATAAAACCAGGTGTAATCTGGTTATTTTAGAAACGTGCCTCCGTTATTAAAAACCCGAACGGCACAGTTACGGGTTTGTCTTACTCCTTACCATGCCCCTAACGGGAACGTTTTGGAAGGGGTAACACGCACCGATTTTTGTCAAATTTCTGACCGGCTGTTACTCTTCCTCAAAGAGCTACGTCCCAACTTGCGCCTTGAGAAAATTATTTTGAGTTAATATTTGTTTTCTTTGCTGCACAGAGAGGAATTTTTTTGGTGGTTGGATAATGTTTGACCGAGGATTAACAAGTTTCGGAAGCTAGTAAAGGAAGTCGTGATGTGCATGCAGTACTGCTCTCGAAATCACAACAAAACATTTTCGTTCGCAAGACAATTTTTTTTCAAGAAAACAGCCTTTCACAACATTGGCGTTGCGTGCGTCTTTATACGCCAATTGTCCACAGTGTGAGAATGATAAAACTAGTAAATGATAACATTTCGTATGAGACACAGTGCCAAATGCACCGCCAAACCGATAAAGGACTCGAGCATTCCCCACAAAAAAACCCGATTTGGGGAGTAAAATACCAGACTTTTTTCAGTAGGTAAAGTGTATCGTCGCCGACCAGAGGTTTTGATTTCTGATCCCGTTTATGTCGAAAAAAAAATTCTTGCTTGTCTTTTATGCTTGTCTTCCAAAGGCAACCCCAAAATACCTCGAGCATAAGTGTCAAGAAGTCGTGACTCACAGTGCACCAAACTGGGAATTGAAAAAGAGATTGTGAGATACACCGTGGCAAGCATAAACAACGTAAACTATGAAATGTTGAAGGGTTGCGCCAACATGGTTGAACACAATATTTCAAAAAGATCATCCAGTTTATTTAAAAGTTCTAGACATATGTTGGACACTGGTGTACAAGCACAGAATTAAATCGCTCCGCACGTATGGTTACTCCGGGTGAATCTGACCAGCCATGGAAAAGCTTCTTCACCAAAGTTAGGTTAATTGTGAAGTCAACGCGCGGTATCATTTTGTTACGTAATTAGATAAGTTTGCGTGCAAATGTTCGGTGTATTCGCTTGATGTCTTTACGTTAAAAAGAAAAAAAAGAGTTGGTTAGTGAATGAGCTTTAGTTTTTAAATGACGGGAAGGCTTCACCTTCCCCGAGACTTACAAGAGGAGGTTGTGGGGGCTGCACCCCTCAACGAACTCATGGCCTTACCTGAGGTAGTCGCGCTTGCAGTAGGGTTTGCCGTCCCGTACAAAACACGTGCAGGTCTCGTCCAGGTAGGCCTCACAGTCCCCGCACTTGAGACAGGCGGCGTGCCACTCCAAGTCCGGGGCCACGCGGAGTATATACTGGTCCTGTATCTGTCCCCCGCATCCTACACAGCACGACACCCGGCGCTTCTCCGGGGCCTGGTCGTTCGGGTAGACCGAGAGGGTGATCGCCGACATGATCATCCGAAGAGTCTGTAGATTTGCCGCCTCTCTTTCCACCAAACACACACCACACCAGCACCTATTTCCCCGGGAAAAGAGGCGGAGGCACCCACTGGAGTACTCGGCGACCACGCTTGGGTCCTTGAGTAGTTACACGCCTCGCTGTATTATATCCGTGTGTATGACAGTCCGAAACAACTAAAACCTGGATGAAAGACAGGGACAGCGATAGTGTTAACTCCGTGCACAAAATGAGTTCACCATCGAACCTGCATTACCGTCAGTTCGGCACTAGGAGTGGAGAATAATGTTCTTGTCTTTGCCAGCTGGCGTGGAGAACTGACAGCCGTTTAAAAATACAACTGAATGTTGCGCCCGGCCGACTGCTGCTGCAGATGGGACAAATCTGGTCGGTGCACGGTACAAAAGAAAGGATCCCACTCCACGCTTTCTGTTACGACTCGGACAGTGGAACTTCCATGCTCTCTGAGAGCACAGCGCTTAAAGGATCCGGTGGCGTGGACCGTACTGCGAGGGATCGCAGTGTCATGGGGACCAGACGGGGAGACAGTTTCTGAAATACACCTTGGCTGTCAGCCCAGTGGACTGTGTTATGTGCGCTCCGGATGGGTGGTCTCGCTGTTGTATCGTCGCCACAGTTTGGTGAGCGCACGTACCCGTGCGGAGAGCGTTCATTCGAGTGAAGGACATCGATACAACACACGCACAGCTTCGAAAGGTCCACAGGCGAGCAGCGGGTTGACGCTGATTGGACGGCCGCGCTAATGAAGCCACCACGTGACCGGGCTCCTGCGGAAACAAAGACTGCCCATTGGTGGTTTGTTTGCGTTGGGATGAGCGGCTGGACAGAGACTGCCGCTCCTCTCAGCAAGCTCACCGTGCAGCTATCGCCCTCGGATGACTACAGCAGACTGCGCTCTGGAGAGAAAAATATCAAAATTACTTGGCCACAGTTGTGCCTTGCGCCGTGTACCCTGACAAACCTGACCGCAGCGCGGTCGGCGATCACTGACGGAAGTGAAGCCCCGCTGAGCGGTACGCGTCGAGTCGTGCTGCCGCGCTCGTGGTCGTGGACTCCGGTGCTCACACTCGCTTACGCCGTATGTCCCATTTCATGGCCACACACTGAGCAGATCTGATGATATAATTGTACTATGATATAATAAAAAGTGTTGGTGTGCCTGCAACAAACAGTACTTTTTTGGCAATCCTTTTCTCGATTGTTGACCTGTGTAGTCGGGACACTCAACAACGTCTACACGCCCTTGGTCCCTCTACAGGGGGTCTGGGTTCCAGCCGCATGTCTTTGGAATCCTCTGCTATCTTGGATTTTATTATTAAGGTGTTTTTCATTTACTTCTTGTGTCTGTTATACTTTTCGGAATCCTGAAGAAATCAAAACATGAATACAAAATTAACTCTTTTAATATCGATTTCAAGGGTGTTATTTTAACACTAATTCAACACCGGAGTTTTTGTAGCGTACACAGACTGTGATTGTCATGACAGAATTCGATTATCGAGACACAATCAGTTAAGTTCAATCCGACAAACCATTTTATAGATTACTCTAGAGTAGAAAAGTCTGCAACTTTGTCGACATAACTTGGATGATTTGGCACTCGGGACCGTGGCTAAGTTCAGACGGTATTGGCAGTTGGTTTGATCAGTGCGCTGAGCCGGTTTGTTTTGTGTGTTTAACCAATAACCAATGAAGTCACCAACTCGGACATCATTCCAGCCCGTGTGACCTTAAAACTTCCGCTACTTTCATGTCTGATGGATTTTCCTTGCCCAGTGGAACTCTCAATGATGTTTGTCCCCTTTCATCCCCCAACATTTCGACGCAGGAGATCATAATCGGGGCGCGCGCAATCGGATCATTATCTGGGCATTCTCATTTTACATCGAGACAACACCGATTCTCGCTTGTCACCCTTTTAAAAGAAAACAAACCTACCATGGGGATCTCATCTTCTTCTTCTTCTTCTTCTTTTTTTTGGAGGGGGGCCATATCGCCGTGTCAGTGTTTCTGCAGGCCGTGATATTGACTCGGCTGCGAGGTGCCTCGCCATACCTGCCCGCGATGGCCGGCAGATAAGCACCAGCGTTGTGGCTAAACGCCGCCGCTTTGTTTGCGCTGGATTATTATTTTGTCGTTGTGTTTTCCCCCCTCTCGCGATTACACAAGCCGATATCTTCCTCTCAAGTTTTGCCAAGAATTGCAGTTGAGCACACAGTCTGTATGTACACACGGGGCCCTTACCTCGGCAACCGTGCAAGAAACAGATTTACATGAGCGGGCATGATAGCCGGACCACTTCGGAACTTCAAACAAAATCTCAAGCGTTATTACTTTCGAACTATGTTGATACTTTGGCGGATAGCTCGAACGCGCCTATACATTATATCTACCGTACACTGGCTGATTACAATCAGCCAGGGTTAAGAAGAGAATGGTGAGTTTCCATCTCGAAAATGCGAATCTAATAGAGGCCTCGTTTGAAACTGCGTATTTGTCATCGTCTGCGTGACTCACGGACTGTATTCGTAACGCGAACAACGGCCTGTTTTGTGGTCGAACACGAGCCCGCCCTCAACCTGTGGCTCATGATTAGTTTTCTCAGGATGCCGAATTTTTACAACTCTTTTTGAGCTCGTAAAACAAATACTGTGTACCTAGATTGAGGTGGGGAAAGACGAATCAATTATGAGAACTCAACAGAAACAGAACAGAAAAAGAATTTAAAAGAAAGAAACGGACAATGGTAAAGCAAACCAATAAAATCAACAGACCAACCACATTCATCATTTCGTTCCGGTTCTTCAATTGAAAAAACAAAAAGGAGCCCAGCTCCATTTTTACCCATGAAAAGAATATCGTCAGTGGATAAATGGCCGAATCTTACCTCCGGCCATTGGCCGCAGCCATCGATCTTACACCCATAATATTAAAACCCAAACAAAAGAGACAAAAGCACGGGGTACAATAAAAAAAAGACAGCCATGGAATACCGGGGCCCCTGCCTTATTGGCTGTAATAATGCTGACTGTTGTTTCTAGCGTTTAGCGCGGGCAGAATAAAAGAATGGAACGAAATGAAAGTGTTACCAACCAGGACGCTCGACAGTGCCCCCCCCCCACCGTGGGGCTATTTTCTCCGTTTTTCTTTTGGGGTTGATTTAGTTCCTTGCGACCCGCCGGTTATTCTGGCGGATCGGTTTGTACATGATTTTACGCCGCATCACTGGTAATTGGCTGCATGATAGACTCATTACAAGTCGCACGGGGTCAACTGCAGACATTGAAAAGCGCAGTATAGAGGCTGAGCAGGAAGCCAACAGTTTACTGTAGTGGCGTTTGGGGCTTTCTTTTTTTGGGGGGGGGGTGTATTGTGGTATTGTTTCACGACTTAATGAACGAAATAGTTGCACTCCGGTTAAGTCGTCTCCGGGGGTTGCTGGGTAAGTGATTTTTATAGAGTTATTTACTGAATTAAAATGGGCTGGATTTTGTAACGCGCTCTGTGCCGTTCTAACTCATTTTTCGGGGCTTCATTTTAGAACAGGTTAGTGCAACAACATAGGGGGTCTACAAACTTAACCAATGACCTGATAAAACTGAGTTTCGCGCGTTGAACGATCGGTGGCGTCGACTTCAACGTCGACTTCATTGATATTTTCTACGATTAACCATTATACGAACACAGGCAAATTAATATGACAGCCTTTACCGAATCGTTTGGTTTCACCGTTTCCAGAAGGCCGACCGAGGAACTGAACAGTGCCACTTGTACCCCTCCCCCCTCCTGCGCTGTCACTATAGGGCGAGCGGAAAACGGACCAGACGGCGTACAACAACCCCGGGCACACCCCAGAGCAGACCAGGGGAACAAGAGCATCCATTTCCCGTGCCAGGCCAGATCTCCCGATCCACTGGCACCCCGGGGGGTAGGGGATCCTTTGTCATCGTTGAACTTGTGGGCGATCAGTGGCGAGCGAAGGCTTTGTCTGTCGGGGAAGGGATAATAATAAACAGCCGTAGGGTGGTTATTTCTGAGCGCGGTTTTTGTGTGTACGTGTATTATACTGTACAACTTTCCCGCTCTCTTCTGAAGATTAAAATCCGTGGCCCTTTTTGTGTATGCCGGGACATCCTGGGGGGCTCCAATGAGCCCTGTCACATAGCTGTTTCATCAGCCCCTCTCCTTTTTGGGGGGGGGGACCGGGTTCTCGAGGACTGGGATAGCAGAACAAAGAGCGGTCCGTCAAGACTTGCCAACGGGGAAAAAAGAAACCTTCAGACGCGGAGAATTATGACTGGCTTGATCCTGAAAAAAAAAATCCGGGTGGTGGCTCGACTGTGGACGGAGAAAATGTCACCACAATATTTGGCACATATGAAGACATGTTTTCCCTATTTTACATCATCTGATAATATCTGACACACGATCATGTGCATCTCCGTATCAGACGAGAAGTCACCACCCTCAATCTGGAATGCTTTCTCATCTGCCTAGCAGGGCATTGCAGACTCATTTCAATAAAAATCTACATTTTCATTACTCATAAGCAACATACGAGGGAATCACTGATCCGGCTATATTTATTGTGTAAAGCTGCCAGGTAGAGGCTCTGCATGTCTATGTCGGCAGCGTGCAAAGAACGAATACCCCAGCACAGTTTCCCTCTTTCGTGATTTCAGGTCAACGATGGATCTTATTACCCTTTTAACAGAAGAGAAAGTGCCATACACGTAATGTGTATCTTGCCGAAGGGTGTAATGCACATTTGGCCTCGTCTCCATCCCGAATGTGGAAATGTGCATGGCATTACGCTGCTTGACCAGGTAGAACACCAAAACGTCCGGTCTGCTGAATCATAAAGCAACCACCTCCGAGGGAAATGATGTGCCCTGGTGAACCCACTGGAAGCCAACAACGCCGAGAAGGTTGACGCCCGATGGATCCAAGACAGTCTTACAGGAACGAACGTGCGGTCCGGTGGATCCCATAACAAAACCTAACAGGAACATACTGTACATGTGCATGTACATGCGGCCTGTGTGCGGCAAGCTGGATCCTACCAATTCGTGTAAGAATAAAATGCACAGTGTGCATGCTCGAGAGCCGGTATGGAGTTTGCTGGTGTCTCAGACGCTGTTATTTGCTATTTTTAAAATATCTTTACGGTGAATGCAGAAAGAATTTACTCGAGTGTATCCGAGAGGAAGAGAGAAGTACTCTCTAACGTGACGTCGCAGGCATAAGGTCTATTCTCTGACGAGAACACGCCTTGCGACCTGATAAATTCAACAAAATCCACCAGTGCACCCTGTGGGTGGGTGGTGGATCCAGCAAAGAGCCCACCTCGCGCACCCTGGTGGGCTGAGCAAAATCTCACAGAATAGGCCGTTGTGATGTGATCTGCAGGATACGACATGTTATGCCAGAAGAAAGTGCATAGCGCAGGCTCTGGCAGGATCCAACAAAATCTAACATCAAAACCAGAGGCCTGTTGAAAGTTTCAAAAAACTATCATAGGGGGCCAGGGACGCCATGTTGCCTTTACATCACGATATCAACAGGCGCCTTTTTTAGGGGGGAGGGGGGGAAGGCCGGTGGTCGGACGCCGTTTTACGACATTCTTCTCAAACATTCTTTTGAAAGTGAGATAAAACGGTCATTATGAACCGCCGGGTCTGCCTTCTTTTACAACCTCCGTGGGGCCAACGGCTCTCCGTGCGCCCTTATCGGCGGGAGGCCAGCCGAACCCTTTTTTCCCGAAGGATCACGACTTTCGCGTTTTTGCACGCTTCTGTTTCTTTCGGACCTGGTTAGTGTCAGGTCATTGTGAATTCTTTGTGGGCTTCCAGCAGACACCGTCAGATA